CATAGTGTTAATTGTAAGATTTATGTAGATTGTGATGGATTGATGTGATTATGATTGTGATGTGATTGTGGTTCCTTACATTATGACTAGGGGTGGCACGACCTTGGGCAAAGAGATGCTACAGGAGTGACCTTAGCATAGTGTAGGATGTGTGATTTCTCATGCTTATGTCAGGGTGGCACGGCCTTGGGCAAAGACATGCTACAGGCGTGACCTTGGCATAGGGTGAGATGTTTGAGGCAATTAATACTTATGTCGGGGGTGGCATGACCTTGGGCAAGAGATGCTATAGGCGTGACCTTGGCATAGGGTTGATTGCAAGATTTGTGATGATTGTTGTGACTGCAAATTGTGACGTGATGATGATGCGTGATTGATAAAGTTATGATACATTGAAATGTTTATGAATATTTTGTTAAGTATCGAGTTATAATGAGATGACTTGTTGTGTGTTTGTATGTAATTTACATATAGATGTTTTCTTTTCTTACCGTACAATTTTGTGGATATTTTAGGTGAAGAAGATCCGGCTGCGAGTGGCATCTAGAATGCCAACAGTTAAATTAGGGGTATGCTCTGATATTGTGACATCGGGGCAGAAGACTTTTAGGACAAAATTTTTATATGGATTTGGAATTGTAAATATCATTTTGAAAACAATTTGTAAACTCTTGCGTTTCATTTTCTAAATCTTTATTATTGTGGTTATTGAAGAACGATTTTTGAAATTTCTCATGTGAACCCTTTTACCGAAATTTAAAACATTTATTTGTAAAGTTACAATATGTGTTGGGGTAGTAAGGGTGTCACATACCCAATCAAACAAATATTGAGAAAGCCAGAACTCGCAGGGCACATGATTGCATGGTCAGTAGAGCTATCCGAGTTCGAAATCCGATATGAAAATTGGGGCCCTTTGAAAGCCCAATGCCTAGCGGATTTTTTGGCTGAACTCACCCCAATCTTAGCAGAAGAACAGCAGGTATGGACTTTACATGTTGATGGATCCTACAAAACTAAAGGTGGTGGTGCAGGTATCATTTTGGAAGGTCCCAACAACGTCATCATAGAACAATCTCTAAAATTCGGGTTCAGGATCACCAACAACCAAGCAAAATACGAAGTACTACTAGCAGGGTTGAGGCTAGCCCGAGACATCGGAGCACAAAGGGTGAGTTGCAACAGCGACTCAAAACTCATGGTAGAACAGCTTAGTGAGACCTACCAGACAAAGGACGCCCTGCTACAGAGGTATTATCACACAGTGTCCCAATGAGTCTCATCCTTCAAGGAGTTCACCATACATCATGTACCCCGAGAACAGAATGTCAAGGCCGACCTCTTGTCTAAGCTCGCCAGTAAAAAGTGCCCTGGGCAACATCGGACCATCATCCGAGAGACCCTCAACTATCCCAGTCTTGACGACAAAGTCGTCAATACCAATAACATCAAAGACAAGGGATGGATGACAGGCATATGAAACTACTTAAAGGAGGGAGCACTACCTGAAGACAAAGACGAAGCTCGAAATATGAGGGTAAGATAGACACAAAGGGCCAGTTGCTAACTCTCCATGGGTTGATATCAGTATGGATTTTATTTTGGGCTTGTCCAAGACCTAGAGAGTCATGGATTCTATTTTTGTGATAGTGGACAGATTTAGTAAAATGGCCCATTTTATACCCTATCACAAAATAGATGATGCAAGCAACATAGCAAGACTCTTCTTCAAGGAAGTGGTTAGACTTCATGGTCTACCCAAAACCATTGTTTCAGATAGGGACACTAAGTTTCTTAGCCATTTCTGGAAAACTCTTTGGAGTAGGCTAGGAACTAAACTACTTTTCTCTACTACTTGTCATCCCCAAACTGATGGGCAAACAGAAGTAGTTAATAGATCCCTATCTACAATGTTAAGGGCAGTCCTTAAAGGTAACCATAAGTCTTGGGATGAGTACTTTCCCCATATTGAATTTGCTTATAATAGGGTAGTCCATAAGACTACCAAAATCTCACCTTTTGAGGTTGTATATGGTTTTAACCCTCTTACTTCTTTGAACCTAATACCCCTACCAGATTCTTCTCATTATTTTCATAAAGAAGGGGTATCTAAGGCTGAATTTGTGAAGAAATTACATGAGAAGGTTAAAACACATATACAACAACAAAATGAGAGAAATGCTTTAGAAAGAAGCAAAGGAAAGAAAAACCTCATCTTTGAGGAAGAAGATTGGTTTGGCTTCATTTGAGAAGGGAAAGGTTTCCTTCTCAAAGGAAGTCTAAACTCAATCCAAGAGGAGATGGTCCCTTTCAGGTCCTGCAAAGAATCAATGATAATGCCTACAAGTTAGATCTTCCCAGTGATTATGGAGTAAGTAACACTTTTAATGTTAGTGATCTTATTCCCTTTGTAGGATATGATGAGGAAGATGAACCTACAGATTTGAGGACAAATCCTTCTTAAGAGGGAGGGGATGATAGACCATGGGCCAAGGGCCTAGTCACTAGAGCTATGGTTAGAAGAATATAAGAAGAGTTGGACCTCTTGAAGACTAGTAGGCTTCTTAAGACCAAGGTATTCTTCACTTGGACTACTCTATCATGAAGAGAAGGCCTAGTTCTATTTGTGTATATTTTGTACATAGTTCTTTTGTATAGGTCTATTTTTGCCTTTGTATTTGTGAGGCACTTTACTTGCTTTTAACTAGTAATTGTATATTGATTTTAGGGTGGGTTACTTGGAGAGTTTAACTCCATTTAACCTCCCTTGTTGATACATTCATTTTCCATTTTTTCAGTAGGGAAAAAGGGGTGGCATTTAGCAAAGCCTGGGAGTGTGTTTAGAAATTGGGCTAGAAATGGGTCTAGGCAAAATTTTGCATATTAGACTCATTTTGCTCCTAATTTTTCATAGATTTGATTTAGCTAGGTCTCATCATCATATGATGAACCTAACTAAACCAAATCAAATATTTTTTAAATAAATCAAGTGAGCAAAAGATGTTTTGGCCGCCTAGCTTCATTGTTTACCTTTGGCCGGATTTCTAAGCCTTCTCCTTCAAAGCTTAGAAGCTTGCCATGCAAGTTTCTAAACCTTGGGAGGTTAGGCCGACCTTACCATGGTTCTTAAGTGAACCATGGTCAAGGTTAGCTTGCTCTCTAAGCTACCTCTCCCTATATATTTGTAAATCTGACCTATTACCTCACTTTTGATGAATGAACTTCAGAATTTTATCCAAAATTCTCTCTTCTCTTAAGTCACAAAATCGTAGAGACTTTCTTCTAGGTTTTCTCTCAAACGAACCTCACCTTTGAGCAAGGTTCCTTAAGCTTCTTCACCAAGCTTGGAGTGGCCGAACAATCCTCCATTGTTTCTCCTCCATTGAAGGTTTCTTCATGGAGTTCACGTCACATTTTGAAGGTTGCCTCAAGAGTTGAACGGTCTTGGAATGGAGCACTTGTAGATTCAACAATCTTCTCCAAGTAGTTCCATCACGTCGTCGATTACTTCACCAAGTGGATCGAGGTCTACCTACTCACCAAAATCACTGCCGAGAACGTGCAAAAGTTTACCTGGAAGAACATCATTTCCAGGTTCAGTATCCCGCACTCCCTCATCACCGATAATGGTAGGCAATTCATCGCATAGAGCTTCGAGAGCTTCCTTCGAGAGCTCGGCATCAAGCATCTCCCCACCTCAGTGGAGCATCCCCAAACCAACAGCTATCACAACCGAGATCGCGACGAGACGGCGAAAAATAAATTAAAAAATAGGGAGTCGCCACCAATGTTATTTTTTTACGGAAAAACATTGGAAAACCCATAAAAAAGAAAATGGTCTACGAAAATTAGATTTTTGGGTTCGGAAGTCGATTACGTGTAAGGAAGGTATTAGCACCTTACAACGTTCGTCTTAAGACGATTACCTTTAATTAATTAAGAAAATTTACTATAACTTTTAAAACATTTATCTCACCCCACATTAATATGAATTAACAATAATAATCAAATATATCATTTAACAAATGTTTTTATTTTATTCTAATGAGTACTAAAATTATTTGTTATTATTAAAAAATGAGATAATATTGTTATTTTTATTTTTTTGGCTCGACAGGAGTGATTTCCTGCTCCTACGTATCTTCATGTGTAATGAAGAATCAGAGTCACGTAATTCTTTGGTAGAAAATATTTGTATGTTGATATTTTTTAATTAATTTGTTTATTATTTTTTCTTTTTTTTTAAAAAGGTTAGGATTTTTGAACTGTCGTAGCTCATACATCCCAAAATATAAAAATTGACAGAGATGTACACCAAAGCCAGATATTTAATTATTTTTTTAAAAAAAGCATTATTATTGTTAATATTGTTATTATTGTGGTACATATTTAAAAATATTTTGGCTAGATATTTTTTATTATTTTGGAGAAAAAATTAAAATATCAAGTTGTCACAACTTGTATCTTAAATTTAAATGTTAAAAAGATATTACATCTAATCAATTATTTTTCCAATAAAATATTTGATATAATGGCCTCAAATATTGATATTAAAAATTGTGATAATATATATATTTTTTTAAAAAAATTAAATAAGAGGAACTTTAAGATAATAAATTGTCACAATTTGCATATATTAGGCCTAGGATTAAGAGACTGTACATTCAAATAATCCTTTCTTTGAATAATATATATTGTCGATATTCATAAAAGATATTATTCTCAATATTTTGTGGAATAGTTATTAATTTTTATCATTCTCATTATTATCATTATTATTAAAAATCTAACATATAATAACTTTAAATAATCAAATAAAATAAATTGCCTTAATTTTTGTATATAATTATTAGCCTCAATTACATAAATTTAACATATTGTAAATTATACTCCTAAAACCTTATTTTCTTTAGAAAAATGAATAAATGGGCTAGGCCCATACGTGAGTTGAAAGGAAAAAGAAGAAAACAAAAAAATCTGACCATCTAAAGACCAACACATCAAATGGGCTTGGCCTACATAATTAAAAAAGCAAAAGGAAGAAAAGGAATGACCCTAAACTGTGAAACAGAAAAAGGAATTAAAGGAAACCATCAAAAACCCTTATGTTAGGGTTATGAGAAAAGCTCTCCAATTTATCTCCGCAGACGATGCATTAGTGCTAGCCGGAAGAAGATCGGCACACGATACCACTGCGGCTGGCCGAGCGAGTGAAGCGGAAAGGGAAAACGGTAGTGAAAAAGAGTAACTCAAAGGAGGTAAGAGGGTCACCGTTGGAAATCATTTTTTGAAGGTGACCCACGGTGATTCTTGTGGGGATTTGTTTGGGGAAGGAAGAAGAAGCAAACACCGCTGTCGAAAATCGTTTCCGATGGCAGTGGCTCAAGGTGGTTCTTGCGTTTCGGCCACAGACTCACGGAGCACGGCAGAGAGGTGTTAGAGTGAGCGAGAGGGAAAAGAAAAAGGAAAAACGGAAGAACACATTGTGGCTACTAGAAATCAGCTCGTACAACAAATCGTTGAGGTTAGTATTTTTTTTTTATTCGTCTTTACTTGTAATAAAAAATCAATGAGGCGCACACACAAGTATTACTATATGCACAGAAGAAAATGTTAAAATATAGTGGGTGAAGATGATACCATAATTTTGAGGATCCGTCTTGTGCTCCTTGTTTGAGTTTTTTCTTTACGATTATATCCCAGCTAACAGAGATGTGTAAAGCTTTGTTATGCCCCCTTCCTTCAACTGGGATTTCCTCATCTGTGAAAGTGAGACGATTATTGGCTATAATGTTACCAATGATGCCTCCAAATTTATCTAGTGTAATGTCATTAGCTACATGTGCTTCATTCAAAATCTTCATCAATAACTTTCTATGACTTTCTGAATTCATTAACAATGACAACAAGGACACCCTGGTAGGTGTACGATCCAATTGATCAATGAGTTTATACTCACTTTGTCGAATGAATTTAAGGAATTCTAAAGCTTCCTCATCTAGAACTTCCTTCTTCTCTTCCTCATTTTGCACAATAGCATTTTTTCCATTGTTCTTTGTGACATGATCAATTCCTCCACTGACGGTTGCTTTCTCTTTTTCCCTAAGATTCTTAGTTATATCTCCTTCCCTTAATTCTTCAAGAGTGTAGATCCTACCACTACGGGTCATTCCACCTACTCCTGCAATATTTGTAACATCGGTTTCCCCATCACTGACTTCTTTCTTTTGTTGTTCATTCATGTTCCCATTTATCTTCACCTCTACGTTGTACTTCCATGGAATTGCCTTGGTATCCTTGTAAGGAAAAGGAGTTGGGACTTGCACAATAAGAGGCTTATGGATATTTGATTTTGGCAAAGGCACATTTCTAGTAAAGTGAATTACCAATGGTCTTGGGATAACCACATTTGGTCTTTCTTCTGATTGAGCCATTAGCACATCCTCTCCAATTGGAAATTGACTTACTTGAACCAAGTTTGAGTCAATCAGATCTTGTAGAATCTGCTTAAATTCATCGCACTTCTCAATAGAATGCATAGCAGTTGGGTGAAGACCACACATCTCAGCTTCCAATAGGTTTCCCTCAATCATCCCAAATCTAAACAATTTCGAAAAGATGAATCTCATAGATGTTTTGATTTCCCCTATATTTTTCACTTGTTGATCACACACTTCTTCAATAATGTTTACTGACGAGGAACCATGACCGAGAAGCGGATTAGTCCCTACATTTGGACTATCTTCTTTAAAGCTTAGCAAACCCATATCTATTAAGTCTTGCACCTTATGCTTTAATCCCCAACATCTTTCAGTTGAATGCCCAACACCCCCTGCATGATAATCACACTTGGCATTTGGATCATAACCCTTTGGATATGGTGGTTGAATAGGCTTTAAGGGGAATGGCACTATCAAACCATTACGAGTCAAATGTGGCAAGAGTTTAGTGTAGGTCATAGGGATTGGGAACAATGTCCTTTGTTAGTTGTTTCCTTTCTTTTGAGTGTTATCCACATTAGGAGAGGGAGTTTTTGATTGATTTTGTTGAGGTATTGGGACTTGCAACGGTGGTGTAGGTAATTGATAGGCCATCCCAAATTAATAATGTTGTGGATATGGAGGTAGAGAAACTGCTACCACTTGTGGGCTATACATGTATTGGGGTCGATGATTAGGTGTAAAAGGGACACGATTGGACCCGATAAAGGTTGACATTACTGCATTTGTTTCACCTCCTCTCTTCTTATCTATATTTGTTGATGGCTTCTTTGTGCACATTGATCCTGTTGATGAGTGAGCAATCTTACCAGTTCGCACTCCCATCTCAACCCTTTCTCCAATAACAACTAGGTTTGAGAAGTTCGATGATATGTTTCCAATGATCCTATCATAAAAGGGTGATTGGAGCGTATCAATGAACATTGTGACCATTTCTTTTTTAGACAAAGGAGGTTGTACTTGAGTAGCCATTCCTCTCCAACGCTGGGCATACTCTTTAAAAGTTTCATTCTCCTTCTTCAACATATTTTGCAGTTGTGTGCGATCTGGGGCCATGTCCATGTTGTACTTGTATTGCTTTAAGAACGCTTCTGCCAAATCTTTCCACGTATGTATTCGTCCTCGTTCCAAGTTCATGTACCAACCCAAGGCAGCCCCTATAAGGCTTTCTTGAAAGAAATGGATCAACAATTTATCATTGTGAGCACATGAGGCCATCTTTCGACAATACATGGTGACATGGTTCTTCGAGCATTTGTCCCCTCTATATTTATCGAATTCAGGAATTTAGGAGGGATCACAACATCAAGAACTAGACACAAATCAATAGCATGGAGTCCATAATGATCAACTCCCTCAATTGCCCTTAATCTTTCTTCCAAAAATTGTATCTTGTCTTTAGATGAGTTATCCTCGAGTTGGCTAGGGTGCGTAATGATAACTGATGTGGAAACGACACTTTGGTGGATCGAGGGGCCTCCAACTTGAGTCGTGTCAACTGATGGTGTATGTACATGGGTATAAGGCATTTGGATGTGAGGTTGAGTTGGAATTTGGGGTCCACTTGTTTCAAGGTTTGGGTCTTGGGGTTGTGTTTGGTTCGGTGGGTTTAAGACAGAGCTAATAGGATTACTCTCATTATTATTAGCCACTGGTGGCGTATATCCCTGAGGCAAGCCATATGGAGGAAATAGAGTTTGAGTATAATGAATCTGGTTTTGAGGGTTCATGGTGGAAGTGTGATGATTGTTTTCTGAAGTGTTTGTAGCCACTAGTGGTGTATAACATTGGGGTAACCCATATGGAGGGAACTGGACCTGAGTATTTTGGTTGGGCTGTGGTGGAGGAGTGAACCCAGGGGGGTAAGCAGGTGTAACATGAGGTCGCTCAGACGAATTCCCATTTGTATCCCTTCTTGACTCCATTGATTGTAGCATGTCCAAAATCTTACTCATTTGTTCTTTCAAATGATTAACATCTCCTCTCAACTCGTCATGTTGTTGTTCCAAATCTTCCACTACTCCCTCCATGATCCTGGTCTTGGCGCGTGTCCAGTAAGGGTGTTGTAAGGATGTTTTCTTTGCCTCAATACTTGTTTTTCCTTTCACTTTCACACACTGTGCAATATTATGTGATGATTATGTGATGAATATGAAAATGCAGTTATTATGCTTTTGTATATGGGAAATTGTTAGAGCACCATAAGTCACCTGGCTCGTGTGTGAACATCCCCTAAAAGGATTCCCTAAAACGTCACGTCATAGGTACTAAGTCTCACAAAACATGGAATCGAGAATTTGCATGAGTGCCTTTAATGTTGTTTTTTTTTCTTAGAACGCCACGTTCTAGATTTAATACGAGATTCATATGTAATTTGTGCATGAACATCTATTTTCAACCTTTTTTATACTATAAGCATTAAGTTACATAAAATGAAGGAGTGAAACAATAGTAAAAAGAAAAACATCAACAACCTTCTTCATTAAATAGATAAAGTGAGGTACAAAAAGTTTAGAAGGGTGGAGCACTACAAAATACATATATGATATTTCTCATACAACTTAAAGAAAAATACAAATCATTTATCACTAGTAGTCATCTTCTTCATCTGAGATATCATATCTCTACAATATTCAAAGAACTCATGAATCTCTATGGGAGTGGACAGTGGGTTTATCATTCCTTCAGATCTTTGCAATAAGTAAGAGGCATCACTGAGCATTCCTTTGATTTGTTGAACTCAATTCACGAGGTTACGTGCCCAGAATCTTTGATTTGCTTCATGTATTTCAACAGCATTCCTCAATTGCCGCACTTCCTCTACTAGTTCCATAATATGTTGATTTCTTGCATTTAGTGTGGCTTGATGTTGCAAAACAAGATTGGCATTTACTGGTTTTTCATCTTGGACTCTACTTTCATACTCAGCCACAACCCTTTTCAATTTTTGTTTCAAATCCTCAAGTTGCCTTTGTGCACTTCTTTCAGCTTCCTTGGCCTTTTCCCATGCCTCTCTCCACCGTTCACTATTAACTCTAGCCTCATCTCGCTCTCCTCTTTGTAATTTTAGCTCTGTAGCAGCAGCCTCTAGACAACTTCGAGTGTTTAACTTGCGTTCTTCTTCTATTCTTGCTCGTTTGTTGGCTAACTCAACGTACTTCTTTACTTTTGTAATTTCTTCTTGTGAGGCTTTATGTTCTTGGTGAGTCCGTATCAATTCCTTCTTCAATGCTTCTTTTTCGTTTTTAGATTCTTCCAGCTCTTTTTTGAGTTCCTCGATTTCCTCCAAACTCATGGGATCTTGAATTTTTGTTTCTTCAATAACTGGAACCGAGCTACGAAATGGCAACTTGACCTTTTTCACTCTCTCACAAAGCCATTGGTGATAACTTCCCTCTACAGTGTAACTTCTTTTCCCCAACTCTCTTCCTTTCTTAATCACTCGATCCCAAGCATGTCTAATCCTGTTAAGCATATCTAAGTCTTTACTCATTTCATAAACAATGAAGGGAGTGATTGACTCTTCTGTAGGTGGGCTCCTTATTGGATAACCAAATTGCCTTATTACAAGAGCTGGATTGTAGTTTATTCACCCTTCGGTTCCCATCAGTGGTACGTTAGGGAAGTCTCCACATTGGCAAATCACTTCACTTATGTCTTGCTCATAAGAGTACCACACAATGGTCTTCTCGCTAAGACTTGCTATGTTGTGGGCCCATTCGCTTTTGCTTATAGTCTCTATCTGACTTCCTTTTTGGAACATGTGAGTCATGAACCACAAGTATAATGTAGGAAAGCAACACAAAATCATCCCCCCTTTTCTTTCATGGCGTAAATTAAGTGTGTGGTATGTATTAGCAAGAATAGCCGGTACAGGGCTTCTCCTCTCATGCTTGTAGGCCAAGAAAACATCAATTGCAACAAAGTCTTTAATTTTTGGGAACAAAACAATCCCATAAATGATGAGTGCGAGCACATCCATGAAACCATCCCACTTTTCATTTTCTGCCAAACATAATGCATATCCTTCTAAGTAGGCCCTTGAGAAACCCTCAACGCCTCCTTTCATTTCTTTCTTACTTGCTAGCTCCCTTACTCCAATCCCCAAGGTTGCAGCAGTTGTAGCTAGTGAAGGATAATGACCCATATATAGGTAGGTCTTTTTGTTCCCTAAAGGAATATCCAGTATTTGTTCAAATTCTTCAATTGTTGGAGCAAGTTGGAAATCTTGGAAGGTAAAGCATCTCAAAGGAGGGTCGTAGAATTGAGCTAAGGTAGTGAGAGCTCCTTCTTGTACAGTAACTTCTAATAGGTTAAGAAGCTTTCCAAATCTAACAACAAAAGTTCGTCGTTGGCTATTTTTCAGCTTGTTACTGAGATCCCTTAAACTCTTCAAATTAGGTTGTCTGATCTTCAACTTCAATGTCTTCTTCAAATCTGATTCCATGTCTCTTAGAAAATGTTCACAACGAGTATTAGGTCTTTATGGTCCCTTAACAACCTAGAAATGGATGCAACATGCCATTTATGATTCTATCTATTTATTTTGCATGATTGTTGAAATGCAAAAATTATTTTCATCTATTTTATATGAAATGCATGATACTTGTTATAAAATGATGTAGTAAAGGTAGAGAGAGAGAGAGAGAGAGAGAGAGAGTTTCTTTATTTTGTGCATAGGTTATGTTATTTGACTGTAGAGGTAGAATACTGATCCCCTTGCATCTTATGAAGGATTCTCCTAACAATAAAAGGCTATAGGGCCATTAATATGTGTTCCTCACAATAGGTGGTTCTATAGTTCTAAAACAGGTTTCTAGAGCCAATAACCCCCTTTTATAATATCAATCACAACAATAGGTAAACTATTGGAAGTGATAATACCCTTGAAAGGATTAAACTCTAGGTGAGGCCTTCATGATAACCAAACAAGATGTACATCTAGAAGGTTACCACTACTCGACTTCTTACTTATCCTAGGTTGCACTCAAGTATGGGCATAGGACCTCGCTCATAAACGTGTGTGAAAGTGTATAGGTGAAGTGTGTGAAGGGAGTAATCCTAAACTACCCAATTTGCGAAACAAACAACACACATGATATAACAAAATCTTCTACCCTAAAGTTCAAATACCCAACACAAATACACGCAAATAAGACAAATAATGAATAAGGAAAATATTTATTAAAAATAAAGGTGAGGTAAACATTTTAAAACTTATTATTAATTTGCTTAATTAATTATTATAGGCTTGAATCTAAAAAAAAAATCTCCAGTGGAGTCGTTATCTGTCACAACCGAGATCGTGACGGGACGACGAAAAATAAATTAAAAAATAGGGAGTCGCCACCAATGTTATTTTTTTACGAAAAAACATTGGAAAATTATAAAATAGAAAATGATCTACAAAAATTAGATTTTTGGGTTCGGAAGTCGATTACGTGTAAGGAAGGTATTAGCACCTTACAACGTTCGTCTTAAGACGATTACCTTTAATTAATTAAGAAAATTTACTATAACTTTTAAAACATTTATCTCACCCCACATTAATATGAATTAACAATAATAATCAAATATATCATTTAACAAATGTTTTTATTTTATTCTAATGAGTACTAAAATTATTTGTTATTATTAAAAAATGAGATAATATTGTTATTTTTATTTTTTTGGCTCGATAGGAGTGATTTCCTGCTCCTATGTATCTTCATGTGTAATGAAGAATCAGAATCACGTAGTTCTTTGGTAGAAAATATTTGTGTGTTGATATTTTTTAATTAATTTGTTTATTATTTTTTCTTTTTTTAAAAAGGTTAGGATTTTAGAACTGTCACGGCTCATACATTTCAAAATATAAAAATTGACAGAGGTGTACACCAAAGCCAGATATTTAATTATTTTTTTAAAAAAGCATTATTATTGTTAATATTGTTATTATTGTGGTACATATTTAAAAAGATTTTGGTTAGATATTTTTTATTATTTTGGAGAAAAAATTAAAATATCAAGTTGTCACAACTTGTATCTTAAATTTAAATGTTAAAAAGATATTACATCTAATCAATTATTTTTCCAATAAAATCTTTGATATAATGGCCTCAAATATTGATATTAAAAATTGTGATAATATATATATTTTTTTAAAAAAATTAAATAAGAGGAACTTTAAGATAACAAATTGTCACAATTTGCATATATTAGGCCTAGGATTAAGAGACTGTACATTCAAATAATCCTTTCTTTGAATAATATATATTGTCGATATTCATAAAAGATATTATTCTCAATATTTTGTGGAATAGTTATTAATTTTTATCATTCTCATTATTATCATTATTATTAAAAATCTAACATATAATAACTTTAAATAATCAAATAAAATAAATTGCCTTAATTTTTGTATATAATTATTAGCCTCAATTACATAAATTTAACATATTGTAAATTATACTCCTAAAACCTTATTTTCTTTAGAAAAATGAATAAATGGGCTAGGCCCATACGTGAGTTGAAAGAAAAAAGAAAAAAACAAAAAAATCTGACCATTTAAAGACCAACACATCAAATGGGCTTGGCCTACATAATTAAAAAAGCAAAAGGAAGAAAAGGAACAACCCTAAACTGTGAAACAGAAAAATGAATTAAAGGAAACCATCAGAAACCCTTATGTTAGGGTTATGAGAAAATCTCTCCAATTTATCTCCGCAGACGATGCCCTGGTGTTAGCTGGAAGAAGATCGACGCACGATACCACTACTACTGGCCGAGCGAGTGAAGCGGAAAGGGAAAACGGTAGTGAAAGAGAGTAACTCGAAGGAGGTAAGAGGGTCACCATTGGAAATCATTTTTTGAAGGTGACCCACGGTGATTCTTGTGGGGATTTTTTTGGGGAAGGAAGAAAAAGCAAACACTGCTGTCGAAAATCCTTAATTTTTTTCATCCCCTTATTCATCTTGTGTTCTGGTATTTATAGGCACACGATTTTTTTTTAATTTGATTAATCTGATCTATTTTCTTTGCCAAAATCCTTAACTTTAGGGATATGGCTTGTGAATCTAGTTAAGAGGCAATTTTTGGGGGAGCTCTGTAAGAATTGCAGTAGAGTAGTTGAGGGGGAGCAGTTGTTGGGGTTCAAGGAAGATAACGGAAGATACGATCAACATGTTTTTTTTCTTATTTTTCTATTTTGTTTTGTTGTTTGTTTTTTTTTCCTTTTAATTTGTATTATATTTTGAAATATGTATGGGCTGGACTTTATCATATAATTTGATTTATACAGGAAGACAAAATTTGGATTTAACAACAGCCAAGCCGAAGTTGTGAACAAGGTCATACTTCAAGAACTTAAAAAGCAATTAGGGAGCGCCAAGGGCCAATGGGTTGACGATTTCCCCAGCATTCTCTGGGTATATCATTGCACCCTCCAATCCACGACTCAAGAAACTCCTTACAGGTTGACCTATGGAGCCGACACCATGATCCCAGTCGAGGTCGGCGAGACGTCTCATCGGCGTCACGCCTTTAACAGTGAGCAAAACACTCAAGAAACAGCAACCAACCTTGACCTAATAGACGAACTCAAAGAGGAGGCTCGAATCAAGAAGAAGCTTGCAAATTTCGAGCCTCCAGAAGGTACAACACTCGAGTCCCACCTCGCTCTTTCCGGGTCAAAGACCTAGTGTGGAGACTACAAGGCGAGGCGAGGAAAGACCCATCAGAAGGAAAACTCGCACCTAACTGGGTTGGCCAGTTCCGAGTTACCGAAGACTTAGAAAATGGAGCATACCGACTAGAGGAGCTCAGCGGCAAAACCATCCCAAGAACTTGGAATGCCACTCACCTCAAGTTTTATTTTAGCTGAATTGTACAAATGGGTTGTTGAACTCTTTTCCCTACTCAGTCTTTTGTCCCAAAAAATAGAAAATTGGGTTTTGGATGAAAGGGTTTTTAACGAGGCACACCCACAACTTCAATAAGAATAACCCGCTTCATTCATACTTCACCAATCTCATACCGTCTAACCTATTTTTGACACGATTTATATTAAGCCAAGGTCGAATTCGAACCTTGGCACGATTCATCTTAAGCCAAGGTCGAATTCGAACCTTGGCACGAATCATCTTAAGCCAAGGTCGAATTCAAACCTTGACACGATTTATATTAAGCCAAGGTCGAATTCAAACCTCGGCATGATCCATATTAAGTCAAGGTCAAATTCGAACCTTGGCGCGATTCATATTAAATCAAGGTCGAATTCGAACCTTTGCGCAAATTATATTAATGGTCAAGTTTGAACCTTAAGGCCAAGCCCGAGCCCTAACGTGAAAATTAAAAGTCAAGTTTGAACCCCAAAATTTTGAATCAAAAATTCGCTTTCAAGCAACAACACGAAAAGCAATATATATATAGCAAATTCATTCAAAAGTAATGAGTTCAATAAAACACCAAAAGCAAATAAATTAAGCGAAGTCTATTACAACAAAAGGAAGGCAGGAGAAATAAAGGCTTAGGCAGCAATATCCTCGCTAGCACTCTTAGACAGGTCGTCCTCATTTACCAACTGCTCATCTCGCACATCCTTATCAATGTGCATCAGCGATAAGTCCACCTTAGGAGCAATTAATCGGGCCTGGCGAGCCACCTTGGCAAATCCCCTCTTATGCTCAACTATCACGGCGCGCTCGGTCTCATGAAGAGTTTTCTCCACTTCTTTCTTTGAGGAAGACAGCGCCTCAAGGTCCAACTTCAAGGCACTAACCTCCTCGCCCTTGCCAACTAGAAGAACCTCATCACATAGATATTTCTCTTCGACCGCCCGCAATTTGGCTTTCAAGACGGCATTCTCCTCCTCCAGTAGTCGCACTCGACCCAGGGCGACCTTAGCCTCGCCCTTGGCCGACTTCACGGCACCCACCAGCTCACCAACCTGGGTGGCATAGGCCTCATTGGCCTTCATAGCAACCTCCAACGACTTCTACAACTTGGAGAAATCCCTCTTCAAAGCTGGAAGATCCGCTGCGCCTCTCCGCGCTCTCTCTAGCTCGACCTCATGCTTCTGCCAACGCCGCCTCCAATGATCCACGATGGCGAGATACCTCTGCATGAAGACCTCCGCCGAGTCCAGGCCCTCCACTGGCCCCACCTTCTCTATCATGGCCTTGTCGGCCACAAACGCCGGATCCTCCTTATAGAATCCCTCGACGGTAAGGTTAGCGCTCCACAACGATGTCACATTGGGAGTGATGCTGACATGGTCTAACCTTGCCAAGGGCCAGCTGATGTCGAAGCGCTGGACAATGCACCTTGACTTCGAATCCTAGGAAGTGCTAGGGTTCGCCGAGGTGGAGATCGGAGGGGCCGGTGTTGGAATGGCAGGAGAGCTCGGACCACCTTCGCTAACCTCGACCAAGGCTGATGTCGGAGTCACCTGCAACAATATCATACATC